ACCTTTTGTTTTCATATTTTTATTAGTAAAACTGATATCAGGTGGCATCATGATAAGAGCGGACCTTATCATCGTCGGAGGCAACCAGGCAATTGCATCAACGTCGACACCAACAGTGCCATCGTTTACCATCGAATATTCAAATTATTTTTTTACCTTTTATTTTCATATTTTTATTAGTAAAACTCATATCGTTATGATAAATAAATTTAGACATTTCACTTTTATAAATAAATATATAGATATCAATATTTTTTTTTAAATCACTAAACACATCTAACGACATCAATATATAAATAGCCCACTTAGAGAGCCCATAATAGGACCCGAGTCGTCTTCCATTTGATCTGTGTCAGTCGTCTGCAAAAAGATTCTGCATCTGATTCCTTGGGAAGGGTCCTTGTGTTTTCTTCACAAGCCAGTCTTAGAGTCGCTGTCGGCTTGCCTCTATGAGACAGTGTCTATCCTCAAGCCATCTCTGGCGGTCATTGTGTTCTTCTTCTTTCCCCTCTGCAAGACTAGCAATGCTCATCTTTAGCCTCACATGGAGGACTCCACCTTTACTGCACCGATCTCTAGCTGGCAGGATCAGCATTACTGTAAGTGGCATTATAGACTCATGGTAATGGAGCTATCCACACCTTTAGGCCTTTGGTGATCACTTCTCAGGAAATGTTCCGTTCCATAGATGCGTTGGAACGAGCCAAGATTTAGCAAATGGCCCGAAGGTCAGAAGAAGCCATGAGAGGAGGTGTCAGGGAGTGACTTGTAAAAGGTTCATCATAAGGTGGATTCATCGTGCTCCGGCCATTATCCTCCTCATCTCTTGATGCCATGAGTTCCAGTATCCTTGGTGTGTGTGGATAAGGTTGACAGCAGCAACAGCTTTCTTGTCTCTCTCTCTCTCTCTCTCTCTCTCTCTCTCTCTCTTCAGCCGCAACTGCGGAGTTGAGTGGGGATGAGGTTGGTTCCCAAGCAAAATATTCCCTGCAATTTGGATTCGCAAGCGGAGAATATGGTGAAGATATCAAGGCAAGACCATGATGAACAGAGATTGCTCAACCTGGAAATGGACAGAGAAGGCGGACAGAATAGATTGGATCCACAGGACAGAGTGAAGACAACATGTTTTCCATGTCCACATCATGCTTACCACGAGCAAAGCAGATGTACTAAGTTAATCAAACGAGGGAGAGGCCAAAGCACTGTTCTTGTTTAGCTGAATAGAGATGTGCATGTTTTGCCTCGGATTCTTTCACATGCTCAAACCCCCTCTCTGGCTCAGATCGAGTGACTTGTAGCATACTCCTCGACCTTCTTATATAATTCTTCGTTCGAGTGAAAGATTCCAACTCGTTTCAAGGATGTTCTGATCGCTTTAAAGTGTCGTGTCTTTTTATGCACATTGCCGGTGACATACTGGGGCAAGCAATGATCTCCCACTACGAACATGCGCCAGAGACGAAGCTAATTGGCATAGAGAGAGAAAGCCACAAGTATGATGAATTCAACATACTGCACTACCTTGTCACACCGCAACAGAGCACAATGCTTCCATGCTGTGTTCTTTGTCAAGTCACAAACCAGCTGCATGCATTCAAACCACAACCACGACTCAGTTATAGAAAAACCAGTACAACTTGGTAAGCTCGGCAATGCTTCTAAGCTTTCATAATCCAAAGAAAACATCTGTTGTTTTCCCAGTCAGTCAGCAACGTATCGTGGGCAGTGTCAAAAGCCGATGGTCTTTGCCGGTGTACATATATACATTGTATGACTAGCAAGATACTACCTCTAGAACCTACTAATCTGATTTCTTCCGAGTTCCTACAGCCAAACTCTGCACTCAGCATGTTGTTGTACACGTAGCTATGGCCGTCGAAAGGCCTGGCACCAATCTGTTAGATTGAATGCGGCAGGGTCGTCCGCCGATCAATTGCAGATGGTCTTGAGCCTCTTTGCAGCCTGCACAAACCCTACGATTACCTGCAACTCATCCAATTGCTTCAGGGTACGCAAAAAGCAATCGGGTGTGAGATAATAGAGTCAAGCTCCTTTCGACTTCTCCACCGAATGCACTGGGTAGAAATGATGCATTTGATCATGTGAATTGTTCTCTTACCTGCGCCATGAAATGCCTCTGAACTACCTCAATTAATTGCTCTTTAGAGGGGTTAGGACTGGCATCCACCTGTTGCAGAAAAAGAAAGCATGATTACATCGAAAAGATGATAATTCTTTTCAATGTGGGAAATAATAGATACATTTACAATGAGGTTCATGGTTGAAATTGCAAATACAGGAATTATGAATTATGCAACTTACAAGATTAAAGTGACGCCAATATCTCCACAGTGCTGTTGTTTCTAGCTTGCTCAAGTCAACTTTCTGCACCAACAACATGGTAGGTTTTTATCATGAGCAGCACTATGGACATGTAAATGAATTAAGAAGGCTGATATCTAGGAAAGAATGTCTAGAGATAAACAACAAAAGAGCCAACAACAGAAACACATAATTTACACAGCCACTTTCAGCACCTCTACATTAGTCACAAGTGCAAATTATGCACCAAGTGCTGTAACTGAACCATGCAAATGTTAGACCTTACCATGTTGTTTCTTGAGGATAGACCGGATCCCTTAGATTGCGAATCAGAAGAGTGAGACCGGCTCAAGGATTTAATAGAAGATCCTTTATGGTGCTTGGTCCTCAACTTTGGAGGCTTTTGTGTATGTGTATCATCAGATGCTGAAAGTTGTTAGAAAAAACAAATAATGTCAAAAGAAAATGAGAACCATATCAAGAGAACTGATTGAAACGATGAAAGATGCTTCTGAAAATTTTATGTCACAGATGAACTTCATCCAACCTATGTTCAAGAAAATTCCAAGATGACATAATGATCCTAACAAGACATGGGCTCATTTCCATAGGCAAAAAAAATACTTAGATACAAGTACATCTGTCACCGTATGTGGGCAACTTCAAAGCTGAAGAACCTTCCAGCAACACATTTAAGAGAACAAATTCTCCCAGTGAAAAAGATTAAATGGATGCATTATTTTCAATGATAATACTTCCCATCCTATACTCTTAGTATTGACTTCTTCAAGAACAGCATTTTCAACAAACATTTAAAGCTAGTCCCACCACACATGCTTCAGAAATATGGCAAACGAAATGAAAAAATTGACCTTCTAGTGAGACTAACATCTTTGTGTAATATGTATCACAATCATTTAAACAAGTGAACAATACATTGATGAATGGATCAGGTCCTAAGCTTAGAATGACGATGTTATGCAAGAATGAATTACTATGTGTGAGGAGCAGGAATACACAATACAAGGTAGAAGTGCATTTGTTGCTTTAATAAAGAAAATTTAAATAGAAGCATCAAGGAAAACCAGTGTACATTCAATGTACAAGTAACCTACTCAATTTAAAGGCTTACAATTGATATAATCATGTTATATTAGTCACATCGACCACACTGGCTAAGGAACAAGAGCGATGTCAGTGTTTCTGATTTGTACCTAATACAGAGTGGCTGGCGAGGACATAGTTAGACATCAGGGGAAAATCCAAGTAATTCAAGAATACATGCATTATTTTTCGATATACCAAATTGAAGCTTACCCATATATGAGCCACTCCACTGCATGTTGTGAACTTCGAGATCATCATCTTCCTCGTGGCCGGTTGGGGCTTCAATCACACTAAGGGCATTTCTTTGCAGCTTTACCTCTATTCCATTTGTCAAAACCTGAATGTTTAAAAATTAAAATATAGTTAACCTTACATGAGCTTTGCCATGTTTACACACTCTGGCAAACAATATAAAGAATTACATACACATTCAGGCAGCAAATCATTCATAAAAGAAGCATCTACTCTAAAGCAAACGAACATTTTCAGCTTCTAACTGATAAACAATAAGAAATCTGATGGTTTGAATGACAATTTAAATAAAGTTCCGAGAGAGCAGTCATGTGTTTGTACTTGATATCATCTACCCAGATATAAAGACAGTCAGAGAGAAGCAAGAAAAATGTTTAGGACCACAATGTCAGGATCCAGTGTGCATAAGGAACACAGGATATTAGTGAACTTCATCCATTTCAACTTCCTGAAAAACATATTGGTTTACTTTAACATATGTGTTAATCAACGGCACAGCATCCCTGTAATTAATTATCACAGAAGCAGAACACAGAAACTCTTGGATATATAGCAACTAAAACTCATAAAGAAGTATAACAAGAGGCCTACATCGAGCCATGCAATTACCAAATGGTCTCATGATTAAGAAATAACAGACCCAGAAACATAGACAGATATAGCATACATATCTTATGCAAGATGCCAAAATCGAAATATCATAGTACTGAATCCTTATGCAAAATGAAAATTTATTCTGCCATGATCTTCAAACCAGAAAAGTCATGTGGATGGAAAGAACCATGTGATTCTAACACAGAAACAAAATATTAAGCAAAACAAGTCATCCCTGCATAAGCAAGGACTATCCGAACCAAAGAAACTTCTGCTTAAGCAGATAAAGTTTGACCTTAGAACTAATAATTGAAAGCAGTGGATGCGTCAACGAATGAAGGGCAACACAACAGAAAACTTTTCCCCTTCCAAGTTTCAGATCCATCAAGAAATTTTGCATATTTCTCTTCTACGTAGCTATACAAAGAAGCAAATACTGAAGCACATGCTGATACATGCTTCCTGCCAACGATTGCAATCAAAAGACTGAGAAAAATGCTTACGAACCCACTCGTATCAATCCTATAACAGAAGAGAAACTACAACAAAAAGACTTCGCTAGATCTTGCAGATTTACCAATCCCAAATAATCCCCCAAATTCCAAATAGACTTACAGATACACAAATAAGAGTGTAATCGACAACGTGAAAACTGACTAAAGCCAGTAGTTAAGCACATGCACAGTCAATCGAGACAAGTTAATTACTCGAGAGAAACCAAAAGCTGCAGGATCCCTTTCCTAAAGCTTGCATGCATATACCGCTATTGCTATATGATATAATACACCAATTTACCAATATGTAAAACCCTAAAGGGCAGATCACTCGTCCAAATAGCAAGTACTAGTCGAATTACGATCATCAATCTAAAATTACTTCATAATGTAGCCTCAAAGCCAATACTTCTGTCAAGATTAAAATTCATCAAGAAAGGTGCAATTTTATCTCGGATGAACAAGATAAAGAACCTTGCAAAGAAAACCGACTCCTAGACTCACCAGATGGACCGCATTGTCTAAATAATCCATCCATTGAACTACAAAATCCACACTACTCTTCTCTTGGCGTGAAAACCCTATCAAATTATAGCCCAAACCCACACGGACCCAATAAAAATCACTCTTTTTCCATCAAGAAGTCGAGAAACCATTCAAGATCGCACGAGAGAGGAGAATTACCAGCCAATGCCAGCCGCCGAGCCCCACGGCCTTCTTGACGACCCCCTGGAGGCCGACGAGCACCGATTTGGTCCGGTTGTTCCCGGTGACCACCACCTTGGTGTGCCGCGGCAGCACCGACAGCTCCTCCTCGCTGCTCTCCCCGCAGCTCTGCCGGAATCCGCCACTCATCCCGCCCTCCACGGCTGCCAGCATTCCCCGACTCCCCACCGCCCCAAAGTGGACCAAATTCACCCCAAAAAACAGCGGAAAACTCACGGAACCGGATCAAATGAGCCAAATTTAACACAGATCAAGCATTACGGAAGAGAAATCGACCGAAACTTGGAGAGAGAGAGAGAGAGAGAGAGAGAGAGAGAGAGAGAGAGAGAGAGAAAGAGAGAGAGAGAGAGAGAGAGAGAAAGAGAGAGAGAGTGAGAGAGAGAGAGTAAAAGTGCATCCTTTTCCTCCAAATCTTCCGCTCTTCGCTCTCTTTTTCTATGCTGCTGTGAGTCCCGACATCCAGGGGACAACCAATGGAAAACTGACGCGTGTGAAGGTTAGGGTCCGTCACGAGCGCGGCTGCCCCAGGCAGCGTCGGGCGCAGCGTTATGACGGTGACGGAAGCGATCGTTCGCAGACGAAAAGACGGTTGGACCCCTTCAGCTCGTACAATGGTTTGGTGGTACAGCAAAACCTACTTACTACTCCCGCGTTCCCCAGAGTGGCAGAGTCCGTAATACCGGCGTCAGAACAAAGGCAATGAGGACGAGGAGGAGCGGGCGGCGTCGAGAACCGTGACCGGAGAGACGGGAGCGGCCGCAGCAGCGCTGGACCCCAGTCCAACCCGTCGCGTTGCCCGTGCCTCGCACCACAGCATAAGCACCCCACCCCACCCCACCCGGTGGTATCTGGGGGCGACCCACGCCCAACCCTGCCGTGGTTTTCCCGCCAAAGGTCGAGAATCTTGAGCGTCCATTCACCGATCGGACCATCCCGGTCCCTCCTGATGTGTGGGCCCCACCGGATGTGATTGACCGTGGTTTCGGAGCCATTCCTTGTCTACTCTCGGAACTGGGAATTAAAGGGAACGCACGTAGTATATACTGGTCATTCATGGCTCGATAATTTACATTCTCCCCGAATGCTGCTTACTTATATTCACGTACGCATTACACCGTGCAAGTAATCGATCGAGTTTAGGCTAAACCATGATTCGGAGAAATCGATGCAGTAATCAGTCTCGTCGTGAGCAAACTACTGCTCGGGAACAATAAAGAGAGAGAGAGAGAGTGTGTGTGTGTGTGTGTCTGTCAGCATTTCCCACCTCGCTTTTCTTTTTGTGGTTCACATACTTTTGGCAATGATGTGATCGCACTCGCTACGTCAGTGAGCTTGCGGTCAAACTGCAATGAGTAGCTATTTACTGCACCTCAACAAGGGAGCATGATTCTGTTCTTGTAATTACAGAAAAGAAAACATAATAAGTTTTTATCTAATGAATGATGATGATGCATGGGGGAAAGAACGAGGGCGGACATGCCTGAAATCCTTATGGCAAATTATGATGCTTGATATCGATGAATCATTATGTAAACTTCGTAGGAAGAAATCAATCATTAATCGCCAAATCACTTTTTCGCTTTTTACCAATGATCATTCCATTTACATGCATCTCCAGAATCATTCCAAGATTATGATGACTTGTACACGAGATGTTCCTCGGCTAGCATCGACAGCCTGCCAAGCCCATGCAACGCACAATTAGCAGGCGAGATTTTAGCATCCTCTCTCTCTCTCTCTATCTCTCTAGAAAAAGTTCTTACGGCAACATAAAAGCTTGTCCCTTGGAGAAGTCATTATTTATTGCAGGAACAGCTCCCTTACATCAAATCTGCTTCCGAGGCAAAAAGAAGCGTCTGCGTGTATGAAGACCTAAAGATGGGAACCGACTGTCCATTCTCAGACTTGGACATTGAACGGGGTTGGTCTTTCATCACATCAGATGGAGACAAGAACACCTTCCTCTGTTGGCCTGGCACTTAGATGAGGAAGACGAGGAGCTTCGAGTTCTTGTACCATTATTGGTTTTCATCTACTCTGTCCAGCATCTTCGATATCACACACATTACCAATGACTAATGGACACTCCAAACAAAATAGTTGTACACAAGACACTCGTGTGATCACAATTATCCATCTCCTATGTGCTGTGCATGACATCTTTCTTAAGATCAACTTCAACATTTATGCTGATTCTGTCCAAATGAATTTAGCAAAAGCTAAAAAGGAAAAGAATGCACATTAAGTGCACGTTTACTCTACATACTCATTTGCATGATTTCAGTCTGCACATTTGACCTTAATCCATGATTCAGGAATGTCTCTGGAGGAACCATCAACCGAAGCCAACTGCTGCCAAAGTTTTTCCTAGGTGAATCCTATGTCTGGAGTAAAATTCCAGTTGGATGGCACATGAACAGACTGCAAAAAATCAAATTAGTAGTGCTATAATTCATTGTACATGCTTACAATTGAGAGGGCTATACAAAATGCCCCATCAAAAGAAAAGAGAGAAAAGGGAGACTAGACCCTCATCTTGGCAGAATTCGATCGATGCGCTTGGTTTCTGCATGCAACACACTGCACTGAAACTAGGGAAAGGATTTTGATCTTGCAAACATGAATTGTCTTGAAGCGGTTGACGATAAGTGTCACCTCATTTGAAACTCAAACATTAACGATAATCGAACAAGAATGAGAAACTGTCTCAGGTTCTTAGTCCGTGCGTGGCAACAAGAAAATGAAACCTGAGTTCTCCCGAATAAGTGGAGGCGGCTCAATATCAGATATATCAATCGGATCCATCGACTTAGATATGTCATCAACTGAAAATGGTATGCTGCATATTCGACACAGTAAAATAACCAGCCAAAAGTTATCTCATGGAATAACAATTATTGAAAGATCATAAGAGCAATGGGCAAAGATTTGCTTCTCATTCAAGGAGTAATTGCAAATGTGTTACCTTGAGTCATCGTCCAATAAGAATGAGTTGCTGACAGGATTGTTGGAATCTTCAGTCATCAGCACCCTCATATTTGATATAACCTAATGAATCACATAAACGAAATATTGGTGCATCACACAATTAACATATCATTGTCATAGCTTGAACCGTTTCTTATTTAATGGATCCAACATGGATCTTACCTCAGGGGACACACTATGTGTTCCATATTTATCATCCCAGTACATTGTACTTATCCGATATAACTGTTGCACACTTAGTACCTGCAAATGTAGAAAACAAAGTTTGTTGGATTTTCAAGAAAGTTGGGAGGGAAAAAGAAACAAAGCAATATCAGGAGCCCTCACTCACTGGGCAAAGATCATGGCTAATTTCATCCAAGGTCTTCTTTGGCTTTTGATGGATGACCTGAATAAGCCATTGTTCACGAGTTGTAAATTAATTGGAACAAAATTGTCAAATTGTTAGGGTTGTTGCCAAACTTCCAGGTGCAAATTTTGCAATCTACTCACAGGGTGCATTAGTGCATTATACAAATTGAATATCATAGGCGTTGTCAAAGAATATATAACTAGTCAAAAGACATTCACAAAGAACAAGGGGTAGTGCAATATTTTTCTATCGACTATGTTCAAATTGGGCATACAAATTTCTTCCACAATAAGGATTTATTTTGTGCCTGATGAAACAGCTATCCTGGTTCTACACGTGACATATATTGCATAACACAATGAAGAGGACAACATTACCAGGAATCCAATAGCCTGTCTTATATGCTTTAGTTCATCCCAAGCTGAACCTGCATACTGCAATCAGAAACAAGCCATAGTCAATGAAGTAACCTAGTTGAAAGAATTCTGTTGCAACACAGCAATAATACAAAGCAGAAGAACTGATTTCTGCCATTAGACAGCCTATGTATTTTATGATACCAATTTCTTCTTATTACGCTCCTCAAGAAGTATGCATAATAATAAGTTGGCACCAGTATCTCACAACCAATTTTGATGATTACAAAACATTGCTTTGCTTGAAAGCTGTTGAAAGTGTCTAATCATCTTTACCTATGAGCATGGATCAAAACTCGTAAGATAATTTAAGATCAATAGTCTTAATCAGTGATTTAAAAAGCGCTAGGCGCCAAAAGGCGCCACGATCCAAAAACGCCCGAGGCGCTAGGCGCTCGCCCGAGCGAAGTGAGGCGTTAAATTATAAAAATATATAATATAATTAATAAATATAATTATTTAAAATTTTAAATAAAAATATACCATTAAATTAAGAAAATCTAAGATACAAAATCATAATGTCACATTAACAAAAAGTTTCAAAATGCACACTAGCCATTTATCCTGAAACATAACAATAATTTCAAATAAATAAAAATTAATAGTATTAAAATCAAAATAATAGTGTTATACTGTATACAGTTAATAGTATACAGTATACTGTTAACAGTATACTTTTGATTTCGAAAGAGAAGAAGCGAAAGAGAAGAGAAGAGTGTAAGGGAAAACCGAGGGTGCTGAGAAAAGCGGGAGCGGTAGCGGCAACGGCGAGCGACGACAGTGGCAGCAGCAGCGAGCTGCGAGAGCGGCGATAGAGGCAGCGACAGCAGCGGCTACGGGACCGGGAGCAACAAGCGACGACAGTGGTAGCGGCAGTAGTAAAAGTGAGCAGCGGCAGCGAGAGCGGCGAGCGGCAACAGTGGCAGGAGCAGCGACAGCAGCGAGCAGCGGGAGCGGTGAGTGGCGACAGCGTGAATGGCGAGCAGGGTTAGGGTTGGGGAAGTCGCGCTGATATCGGTGCTTTAGTTGGTTCAATTGAACCAACTAAAGCATCGGAGACCGAACTAGACCTAAACCGCTGGTTCGGTCGCCTAGTTTAACCCAGGCGCTCGCCCGAAGCGCCCGGCGCCTGGGCTGAGCGCCTAGGCGGCGCCTCTTTGAAGCCCGCCGCCTGGAAATGAAGCAAGGCGCTCGGGCCTCGCCTCGCCTCGCCCGAGCGCCTAGGCGAGCGCCCGAGCGCCTTTTTAAATCACTGGTCTCAATGAAAAAATTTCTACTGTTAAAATGGTGAGAAATGTCGGTAGGCTTCTTCCAAGAATTTGGAACGCATGAAAGGGTAGTTTACAAACAGCTTGTTGCTTTTTAGATAATCTAATGGCTGAAATGATCATTAGGAAGAAAAAGAGTGATATGAAGGGATGATACTTGAAACCAAATTGGTCTGTATTTCCAAGGAGATTTGGGGAAATCAATCTTGGGAAAATACTACAATAACTTATGGCATTATACACATGTAGAACTTTCTCAAGGGCAGTCCAGGAAACAATGTTATATATAAAGATCCACACTCTAAAGAAGATTCTCTTCTTTCTGTAGAAGACAGCTTTTTTAGTCCATATGTGCTCCACATGACTAGCTTTAGAGAGCTCTGTAATGTTGGAATAACAAGAGCATACATTAAATGATAGAATTCACTAAATGCGGTTTCATGGCATAAATTTATACCATTTGTTAAGGAAATTGTCTTGGATGACGAGGTTATATTTGGAAATGAAGTCCAAGAATGACAAACTGCAAAATCAAGGGTTTCAAGAATAACTGAAACTAAGATTAAGCACAAGAATTCAATAACATTAATTCTTAAATACATAGGTAATACATTATCAAGAAAAATTAAGAACCAAATTATTTTGTCATTTTAGATTAAAATTTCACATCGAAGAATGAACAGGAAAAACTAACATAAGAGGTTAGGTGGGGAGGGTCTTCTTTGGTAACTGAATAAAGACCTTGAGTTAAATAGGTAAACAACAAATACTTTTTAAGGCTCTTACACAGATGTGGACAATGTATCAGATAACTAATGCAACTGAGATGACAACTTTTGGATTGGTGAGTAGTGTTGCTAGGCAATATAGAACAAGAAATAATTGAATTTATCATATCTTTAAGGTAGCACCAGCTTTAGATAGACTTGAGGGAACTGAAGGTTCAATATGTCCAATAAAGATTGCAGTGATCCTGAAGATGTGCGAGTTGATTGATTAAGATGCCCAATAGGGAGAGAACCAAAAGGAGATTAAGCAATTACCAATGAGCAGCTGATGGATCCATGAAGCTCAGCCAAGTAACCTAGTCTTATGGTCTACTACATGTATTATTCAAATGTAAGAATAAACATGCAGTCATCATTTTTTTTTAGTCTTCTTAAGATGATTATAGATTTCTGAAGCGGGATGCGAATATATTTTCTAGTGTATTTCTGATGTTTAGATTTGGACAAGGAAAGGGGACAATACAAACAAACGGGTGGCAATAATGACATCCTATGCTGTCATTAAATTTTAATATTTAATCTCTTTTCTTTACAATTGTAAATTAGCAGAAACACAATAGTAAGCCACATAGGTATCAGAAAATTGATGTTAAACTCACTAATTGCTACTTGCCAATATGATGAAGGCAAGATATTAACATCCAGCCACCATACTAACATGTATCAACAGTATCCTTAAATAATAATAATAATAATAAAATGAATGATATATTAATAAGTATTAAGTTATAAATACTGATTGGTCCATAATGGTCCAACCGGTATATATAATCTTGTAATGAATGCAGTCATGCACCTTAACTATGATTTTGTACTCCTATATGTTTTAGTTCCTTTTTGTTCGGAAATCTATGCCGACAAAGAAGTTAAGATGAATAAGCTGACATAGCAAAAAATCTTGGTCTACTTTCATGTATTATAATGTTATTGAAAGTTTGAAACAACAATAGTTACACAAAATTGAAGAAGAAATAGTATAGAGAAAGGGCAAGGCTACCACTGAAAACAAGAACAGACTGATTTGCCTGTCCTGGTGTAAGCATCTATTGAAGATTAGCCTGGAACCAAGAGAACTACCTCATCAGTTGATTTGTAGCACCAATTTTCTAGTTCAGCTAATCCTGCTTTAACGTATTCACCGTTACTGAATGAGCAACATTCTCTCCTCAGAAGAAGACTGAAAAAACAGAGACAATCAGTGATAATTCTCACTTGTCCACCAAAAAATGCATTCGGACACTAGTTACTGTCCAAAAAAGTGCACCTGTTAAATAGCTGTACATTTATGAAGGAAAATATCTGTGTGAACACCTTTCGAACTAAGAATGGGGGCACCTGGTTATACAAGGACACACACAGTAGAAGTCAGAGGATACACAACTAAATCATAACCAAAAAACGCAGAATGAAGTAAAAATGGGGTTGGAACATTTTTGACAAATTTGATTATACTCAGTTGCATTAAATTCTCTAACCCGACCATAATTTGTGACCAAAACCAACAGATATTCAAGGACACTTTCTTAGGAATAGAACAAAAAGTCACCATAATAAAACTTGGCATTGTGTATGGATAATAAACTGACATGATTTGCTTTCAACGTGTTCAAGAAACTGTCGAGACTCTTAACAATCCCTTGCCAGTGAGCGATCAAAGCTTGCTGTCCAGCAGCATTTCCCAGTGAGCGAGAAGTTCCTTTGACTAGACTAGCTCTTGAAGTTCGTGGTGCCTGAGTTTTCCATGTATGGAAATGAACCGAACATGCCAATGAACAAGCATTCCATGTAAGAACTTCTTCAGCTAATTATGGTAAAACTTCTAAAACAGTATACAAAATAATACCAGCAAGGCAGCAACATGATATAAATATCAACATCCTTATTAGCCTAGTTTTAAAGCACAAACAGACTATATTTACCTGAATGCACAAACCAAGCAAGGGAGATATCTCTTTCTTCAAGTTATCCCGGATCATCCCGTATATCTTTTCTACATATGCAGTAAGCTGCTGTTTGAAAAGCAAAGCAGGGTACTTTGCTTCAACTTGGCGTAATTTATCTACTCCAGTCAAACTTCCATTCACAAAAGAAAGGTTCACACCTTGTGGGGTACCCCTGAAACTCTAAGAAAAAACATGTGCAGAATAAAAAAGTGTCCCTGTGAAACTGTCTCCCCAAGCAGACTTTAAAAATGTAGAAAATCTTTTTACAAGCAATTAAGTTAGATATTTCAATACTTGAGTCATCCTCCCGAAAAGGGTGGCAGACGATGACCGTCGGCGTTGTGGTGCCATGCCTGCTGCACCGCTTGCTTTCAGTGTACGTTGGAGTAGCAATAACAAAGTTGATGCATTGGAAAGCCAGTAGGCCAAGACCTCATTATTATCCTGAGTCTTCAACATGTAAAGAATAACATCTCATTGTAGTCAACAAAGCTCATCAAGAGCAAGAAATTATAATAAAAATAATAGAATAGTTGAAACCTCGATAGCATGACCAATTGTCTGAATAATACGATCAAAGACACTTGTGCGCTCAACTTCAAATGATCGCCATTGTAGAAGGCATTTATAAGTAATACAAGCAGCAACAGGTCTACTTCCAGCAAATCCTAAGTCTTGCGCAATACACCTAATCAGTAAGTCCTGATGTTCCTGTAAAACCAGTTAACAAGTCAATTTGGAGTGCCAGAATTCATTCAAAGATCGCATGTCAAGCACCATTGCAGGAAAGAAGAAAACTGTTCAAGCCAACTATCCAACCTGCTGCTTTTCATTGAGAGATTTCTGTGGCTTATCTTCTACTTCATAATTCTCCCTCATGTTGAATGATGCACTAAGTGGATCCTAAACCACATAACACATTTAGTTGAGAATAAAACAACAAATTGAAGTTTATCAGGTTTCAAGTAGCTGGAGTTGAAAATCAAAAGAAACATCAACTTACTGCAGTTGTTCTGGTCTCGGTATTAATAACAAGACCATTTTCAGAACTCCTCTGTCAAACAAATCAATAAAAGGTTTAATAAATAAAAATTGCTAGAGTTATTTTGGCATACAGTACAAGAAGTTTGTTGCATTCACCTGTAGCGATGATTTAGAACGTCCTGATAACAATTTGCTGGGTGCTATGGATACAGCCTGCTGACGAAGTACTTTATTTTCTGATTCTACATTTGCCAGCTTCTCTTCAATCCTAAATAAGAAAGAATTGAATGTAGATGTAGATGTAGATGGCATTATCTACTACATTCAATTGCTCATTGTAAACAATTAAGAGAAATTTTATTAAGACCTCATATCATGCCAAACTGAAACACCTTAATTATGTAACATGTTCTATATAAAGCAATTTTCCATCCAACAGCACTTTTAGTCCAATCCTCAACTGTGTTTCCAAACAACATCAGATTATGGTGCATGAATATGTTCCAAGAGGAATATAGACATCTCCTGATTTGTTTTGAAGTTCTCTATTCCTCTTGAAGTTTTATGGAACTCATGCACAATCTTGATGAGTGAGAAAACATTAGAACATATATAAATATCATATGTAACCTAAAAATCTGCACTCATCCATCCTTGTGAACAAAACGTTATAGAGGAACCTAAATTGGACTTTTCTCAACAAAGCATCAGGAGTAGACAGTTGCATCTCGCTCTGACAATACTTTTCATGTGCTCTATTATTAATAATCACTGTCGACCAGAGGATAGTGCCCACCAACAAAAGCAATTATGCAGTGCCAAAGGTTCAGAGGTTTTGGGAAGAGGATTTAACATGAAAGGACACCTTAACATCAAACTGATTTCTAAAAAATGATCTGTAAGACCATTTGTGCTTTCTGATGACCTCAAATGAGATGATACAGACCAACAGTCGGAGTACCATGAGAGAGATTTTGACCATATTTTTGTGACAAATCTTGGGTCAAGGCACTACTGAAACCCAACAAAGCAGGTTTTGTTACTTTACAAAATTCGAATTGCCTAGGTCTCAAACAGTCAACTCAAAATTGTTTTGCAGCTTTGTGACTTACCTTGCTAAAGCTGCAAAAGTATGCAACTTAAGTTGCTTTATCTGCAGTATCCTTCAACATAGTGAGACTATCACCAACTGCTCTAAAATTGTCTGTGTCATTCACCTCTAGGGCATAAAGCAGTTCCAACATCTCCTAAATTGATTCGAATAACAAAAACCTCATCTTGAAATGGATGCTTGTTTCCAGATTTCTTAGGTTACTAATCATGAATGAACCGAGGTATACACTTAGTGGTAAAGATGTTGAGTGCAGAGTTTTAAACAAGGAAATATTGCTAGGAAGAATATTTTCTGCATTGGATAGGACTATGTAGATGATCAGATAACAGATCATCATCCCTATGCCAGGGGAAATTTACCTATGAGCAATGTCATGTCAAGTTCTGAAAATAATTACAAAACAGTTGCTGGCTTACAACAAACAGATGCCACTATGCCCATTGCCTTTATCAGTAAGCATCATCACATCTACATGTTAAAACTGTGAAACTTCCATGACATCCATCCATTTTTTGATCTAGGAAGAAAAGTTGTACTTCCTTGTGTGTACCTATGTAGATGTGACATCATCACATCTACATGTCAGGTTCCTACTCTGTACTTCAGTGACATGGGAATGTGCCAGATATAAGAGTAAGAAATTATACCTATGCAAAGATTCCTGAAGTTGATGCACTTTTCCTTCTGATTCATGTAACTTTCTCTGTCTTTCTTCACTTATTTTTTGTGCTTCAGTGAATTTGTTCTCAGCATCATCAGCTCGTTGTTTTTCTGACTGAAATGAGGCCTAAAAGGGCAGAAAACAAGAAGATTACAATAAAACAAGTCAAGATGTTCATATTCAAAAGACACTTTCTACTACATAAATTGGCTAAAGTAAATTACTTGTAACATGTATAGAAAAGGAATGATGTTTACCCACTTAGTAATTTGCTTCATTAGAAAAACTTTCCAAAATAAGCATTAACCATAATCATAATGCGAGCAGATATTATTTCAATCTTAATTAAATCAGTAACTATTTGCAGTTATGAGATCTGATCCACCCATATTAAAGCCTACGTCATTCTTCGAAACATATTAAATACATATAGCTTGCAAACAAAGAAATTTCATGCTTAACTACTTAAGAATGTTTTTCACCCATTGTTTGTAAAGGGGGATGCCCTGTCATATTTTAGTTCTCCTTCAAATGTAGCCCCTTTGCCTTATTACTGTAAAATCAACTATCTAATGCTTCTACCTGCAGAATAATTAAAAGTAATATGGGGGATTAAAATTAAGCCTGCTTTTAAGTGAAAACCATTAAACAAACACCCGGTATATTTCAGAAATATAGAGCAAACAAATAAATTTACTAATACTGTTAAGGTATGGCCAATTATATGAAGCCAAGCACCTTTAAGTTCTCCACCTCAGCTGTCAAGGAATCAATCTTTTCAGTATCTTGAACATGAATGGTAGTTTCTTTGATAACAGGGGGTGCTTCTTCAATAGCCTTTCTAGCAGCCTCTCGTTCCTCGGCAAGGATTTCAGTTGTCTCATCCAATTTACTTTGTGTTGCCTGCAAAGAGCTTTGTAACTTTGCTATCTCTTGTCCTTTAGCTTCCTCTAAGTCCGTCTGTATCCATTCACAATTAAGTTATCCCTGTCAACTTCAGTACCATATGCTTAACAATATAACAGAGAGCGTACAATTTGTAGATTCAATGAGATAATCGAAAATTGAATGTGATTGCCCTAAGTTTCTTTCATCCATTATTGGTCAACTTCAGCATATCTAACCTTATGGATAGTCTATTAAATGTCCAAACATTACCCTCAAACGCTTTTCTAATTGTAAACGCCATGTAAGATCTTCCACTGTCTTTTCAAGCTTATCCTTTGCTTCCTTGAGGGCACCTGTTTCTCGCGCAGCCTGAACCAAACAAATTAAAGAAATTAAAACATACAGTTATCAAGGAGCACTAGAAACCCCTTCAATGAACAAACTTTTTACTGCAAAACACAACTGCATTTGAAACTGTTTCTTCAGTGTTTGATCAATTGGTAATAATATAGTTTTTTTCAGAGGAAGGGAACAGTTCTACAATAATATAAGCATATAGACATACGTTTTATGTGTCACAAGATCTGATAAATAGAAAGGATCCATGGAGTAGATCCCATACAGTTAGGAATTTATGGCTGTTATTGATCTGTTGTACATATAAATAGACAAGAGACTCAAACTCAAAATTATTCTCTGATAGTCCAAAATAAATCTGAAGATATCAGGTTTTGCTTTTTTTTCCTTCACGTATTGACAATAACCATTACATGCATGGAGGTGGTACCATGGTATATTGTCGTAATTGGGGATGTAGATTATGTTTAAAGTAATATTTTGTTTATCTTTTGGAGGGAAGTAACTAGCACACAAAACCGATGTAATTTTAAGAAATATAAAACAGTGGATCCAAGAAGAAATGTTTTGAAAGTAAAAACATGCAAAATCATCTATATGCAAACTTTACATATTATATGGATCTGACAACACACAAAGAAGGTACATCAAAAAAACAACTAAGTAGTTCAAATGTTAAAGAGAGTAAAAAGCCAACTCTTCAAAATGCAGAGTTATTGGAAAGTTTTATTAGGATCCCTTTATTTTCTGAGCTTTTGAATAATGTTTTATTGAGTTTGTTTAGTTCAATAAGAGTCGGATAGGGTTTATTTAATATTTATTTATTATTAAGAGTCCAAGTCCTGGTGGATTCTGGGTGGAACTCTATAAATAAGAATGTATCTGTTTCTTTTCACCAATCAATGAAATGTTATTCCAGTCTTCTGACAAACCCTAGGAGGCCGATTCCCTCGAAGTGATCATCCCCTTTCCCCCTCTTTATTCTATAATAAAACCTTAGGGTCTTCTCATTTGGTATCAGAGCAACGATCCTCGGCGTTCTCGTTGCAATTTCTCACAACACCTCGCCGTAGCTATCATCATCTAAAAAAAAAAGGAAAGAAAGAAAAGAAAAGAAGAAGCAACTGCGGTCCTCGGCATCTCTACAGTTGCCTCAGATGCGCCTCCGCCAGAGACGGCGCTGCCAACAGCATGCCTCCTAGCCGAGAGCAGTGTGAGGGCACCGCGCACCATCCTGCTTAGCGAGAAAGGGCCGCCACCACTGCTTCCTGGCCAACGACCACTGTCGCCCGCCTCCCAATTGTGACCCTCGTTGCCTCCCCTTGGGTCGCAGCCGCAGCCGCTCGACCATCCCTCCTCGCGGCGACCGAAACAGGGTAACCATGACCATCGCAACCACCGCTGTTTCCTCAACCGCTCGTGATCCTTCGGCGTCGCTAGCATCTCCTTCTACGGTGCGACAGAAACAAAGCACCCTCTGCTGCCGCAGCCGTCGGTTGCCACCACCACCGCCGCTGCTTCCCGGTTAGCGACCACCGTGGCCCGCCTCCTGGCCGCGACCCTCATTGCCTCCCCTTGGGTCGCAGTCGCAGTCGCAACCGCTCGATCATCCCTCCTCGCGACGACCGAAACAGGGCAACTCCCCACGACCGCCGCAGCCACCGTTGTTTCCTCCCCTCTTCACTACCAGCATCGACAACAACCGCCTCCCAGCCACGCCCTCAACACTGCCTCGACTGACACCCGCCTCCCAACCGCGACCCTCGCTGCCTCCCCTTGGGTCGCAACCGCTCGCGACGATGCTTTTGCCTCCAACCGCGCATGCAGCAACTGCAACGAGCCCTCACGCTGCTCTAGGCATCCGCTTCCTCAGTAGCCTCGCAACGATTCCTCACGCCCTCAACGCAAGCTTCACAATAGCTGCACCGAATAGGGCAGTGCTGATGCCCTTGACTAGACAACAGAAATGAGCTTACTGGAGAGCTTTAGCAAGCTTCAACAAGATGAAAGTTCAAGTCTTACGTTGAACCGACCTGGAGACATTAGAAAAAGGAACCAAGAACAGGACACAAGCTACCCCCGCATGAAGGTGGAATTTCCAAGATGGGAAGATGGAGATCCGACCAGTTGGATCTCTAGGGCAGAAAAAAAATTTCGTTTTCACAAAACTCCAGAAGAATCCAAGGTGGAAATAGCTTCAATCCAACTAGATGGAGATGCAATTCAATGATATGATTGGTACGAAACCTGCCACGGGGTCCCCTCGTAGAAGCAATTCAAGAGAGGGCTTTTCGTTCGCTTTAGACCATTTGAATATGAGAATATTGATAGGCAGCTCGCTAAAATTCGTCAGAATTCTATAGTGCTAGAATATCAAAGCAGATTTGAACGATTGTCAAATCAAGCCAGATACTGGTCCAAACAACAACTGGTGGGAACATTTATTAAAGGACTTAATCTAGATATCCAGTGTGAAGTCAAAGCTTACCAACCCCGCACTATGATAGCTGCAATCTCATTTGCACATTTGCATGAAGAAAAAATCAGCAGGGAAAATCATCGAAACAGAAGTGACAACAAACAGAAGATCAGCAAGTCACCCGCCCTATCTATTCCCAACCGAAACCCTAACACCCGAAGACTAACTCGAGAAGAACTCAAGAAAAGATCAGCGAAGGGTTTGCGTAGGCACTGTGATGAAAAGTGGAGTAGGGAGCACCGATGTAAACAAGAGCAACTTCTGATGATTGAACCAATTGAGGAGGAACCGAAAGCTAACAATGTAGACTCCGATCATAAAGGTATGATTCTGATGAAGATGTTAGACCTATCATACATATAGTGCATGCATTAGCCGGCTACTTTAACCCGCAAACTATGAAAGTTAGAGGAACTTTGGAACATCAGCATGTTACAGTTTTGATTGATACTGGTAGCACTAACAAGTTTATGGATAATAAGGTTGCTAACCGATTGGCCTACCACGTTGAAAGCTGTAACAAATTCGAAGTAAAGATCGCTAATAGACGGATTTTAACTTGTGATAGCAAATGTTCGAAGATAAAATTGATTATACAAGGTCAAGAGTTGCTTGTGGACTTCTTTTGCTACCCTTGGAAGACTTCAAAGTGGTGTTCGGAATTAAATAGCTATCAACCCTGGGTGATATTTCTTGAAATTTTTCTAAAATAATCATGAAGTTTTTTATTAATGGAAAACAAGTAATCCTAAAAAGAAGACATGGAAGTAAGGTCACAATTGGCACTGGCCATCAGATAGAGAGGGTTCTCCAGAAGATTGCAATGACTACTACACCGAAAGGCTAACCTATTGCTTACACTATCAAGAAGTGGAGACCGTACTTATTTGATCAACGGGTTGTGATGCGTTGTAGATACCCTGTGACTGAAGTGTTGAAAGAGAAGCTCCCTGAGTTTGATGCTACTAAGTCTTAAGGACAAGGTTGATTTGAAGAGGGAGGAATTGTTAGGATCCCTTTATTTTCTGAGCTTTTGAATAATGTTTTATTGAGTTTGTTTAGTTCAATAAGAGTCGGATAGGGGTTTATTTAATATTTATTTATTATTAAGAGTCCAAATCCTGGTGGACTTTGGGTGAAACTCTATAAATAAGGATGCATTTGTTTCTTTTCACCAATCAATGAAATATTATTCCAGTCTTTTAACAAACCCTAAGAGGCTAATCCCCTCAAAGTGATTATCTCATTGTCTCCCCTTTCTTCTATGATAAAATCCTAGGGTCTTGAACACAGAGAGGTCTGTAAAATGCAATAGGAGGTTTGAACAGATCGACTTATAGGAGGTTTCATTAAGGAAATTAAATAGATCTGTAAAATGCAATAGGAGGAGAACACAGAGAGATCAAGGTATTTGAAGCTAATTGATTTACATTAGGCAAAAATAAATCGGGTCTCTTCTCTAAATAATCTGACATCTAAGGACATCATTCCTTGCATTAAGTAGGGCATGCCCTGTTGGTAAATAATGTGAAACTAAACTTGGAATGGTTATCTAGAATATCACACATGACATTTGTTAGAAACTTCTCCATAAAATAGGGCAAACAACTGTTGCCAGAAAATTGGAAAATAAATCAGTGCATCATTTAAATGCCATTTTTAATAGAAAAGGAATCTATGTAGATGAGAAGCTTGGTATCTGAAAAAAAGTCCTATTACTTTAGAAAGATGGAAGTAGTAAAAGGATTCAAAGGGCAAGAAGTTACTTAAATTTCTTTCAATGGCCAGGGCTAAACAAAGACAAAATAGTGATAGTTGTGATTAAAAGTAATATTGGTTCTTTAATTTTTTTATTAAACTTAAGAGGATTGTTGGGATTTTTCAAGAGGTCCTAGCTTTATCATATTATAATTTGAAATTGGTGATGATCACATCTAGTTGCAAAGAGTTACAACTTAACTAAGTTCCTCAGGAAGTGAATATCTGTGGATGTCAAACATACAAAAGAGTTTGACATGGGGATTATCAAGAAACTTGAAGAAAATCATGCGTATTATGACATGTTTAAGGTGTGCACATGAAATCAATAATCAGTTGGAGCTGTTTTATCATAAACTAAATGAATCAAACAAATGCAAAATGTTATGTTGGAGTTAATACAACCAACACTAAATTTTGGATGTACTCATGGTTGCATCATCTTTGTATAATGTGAAGTCTCAAGATAATTCTTCCCAAGGATTTTAATTTCGAATGATATCGCCCGTACCGGGCGATACATACTAGTCCGCCAGCAGACCAGTACACGGACCACCCGCTGCCGGGCGGTACCGTTGATTGGGTTGTTTCTGCCCCATTACTGTAGCGGGCAATATTAGCCGAGGGAGAAGGAAGAAGAGAGAGAAGAAAAGGGAGAACATGGAGATTCGACGCCGCTCTCCCTCGACGATCTCGATCCGTCGCCGCCCTCCCTCGCTAGACACCGCAGATGAGATGTCGCCTCCTCCTCGTTTGAGGCGACGAGGCCTCAGTGTCGTTGGCGACTTCTCCTCATCCGCGTGGGGAGAAGAAGCCTCGAAGGGAGAAGAAATCGTTCCCCACACGGGGAGAAGAAACCGCCGCTTCTCCCCCGCGATTTCTTCTCTCCATGTGGGGAGAAGAAACGACACCTCTTTTTTTTTATTTTTTCCAAGATATGCAATTTTGAATAATACTGCCCGGTACGGGCGGTATGTACCGGTCCGTCAGTTGACCGATACACGGACCGCCCGTTACCAGACGGAACGATATATATATATATATATATATATATACGAGGCGACGTCGCCCCGCGTGGGAGAAGGAGTTAGACACAAGTTGATTTCATGTGCACACCTTAAACATGTCATAATACCTCACACCCTAGTATGCAGAATCATTAAAAAGAACCGGTCACTTATCACCTATGTTTAAGCAGTTAAACACAAGGTGGTGAATGGAAATGATTGAAGATCTTATTGCAAGTCATGACTTGCATAAATTTCTTATATAGATATAGAATACCTCATACCCTAGTATGCAGAATCATTAAAAAGAAAAGAATGATTTGATTTCATGTCACAATAATTTATCACATAGATGACTAATATGAAAAGGCCCATAACATCAGAAGGCCAAGATGTTAAAGACAAGGAAATCCATGGTTGAATACTAAATTTATTCAATCAGAAGCACAATATCCATCTCATGGCATCAGTCTAGAATACCCAAAATGCAGGGTTGCCACCTAATCACACCTTTATGGAACCTAATAGAATTTTTATTTCTTTAAATTTCATCAACATTGTCTAAAAACAGTGGATTCACATGTTTATGACTAGACAGTATGCAGGCGTTCAACAAATTTGAGTTGCCTTTATGAACATAATGTACATTTACCTAATGCCTTGGACTAGCTCAATGGAAATATGTGTAATCTGAATGCCAAAAATGTGAACCAACTTAACACAAGAAATGGCAAGAAAACAAAGATTGTGACCTTCCATACATTAACCGAAGATGAAAAAAATTCTGATATGAACACAAAAAATTTATGGGTCTACAGATCCAATGACAACTTGACATGAACCTCTGAAACAAAGTCCATCAAAGAAAAAGACCATACACTAATGAAGGGTTCATAAATTATTCAGTTGAATACAACTATTCCTTTCTTATTTGCTAGAAACTTCGGGTTTATGTTAATTCTGACTATCATCTTTTGAGAACAATAATATTGAGCTACAACCTACAGTTTGATTATGGTGGGTTCTTAAGCCATAAGTGTTCACATCAGATAGGCCTGCTAGTCCTTTGATAGAGATATGATCTAAGTTTTGATTCAGTCATTTGGCAGTGATTCCTTAACAGTAAAAATAAGCCTTCTACTAGGTAAATCATTTATTTACCTATTTTCTTTTTTCTCTCTAAACTTCTCTTTCATTCATCCTGCAAATGAAGACATTTCAATTAAACTCAAAAAATTTCTTTCTTTTTCTTTTGTACACATGAAAGGAAACAGACTTCCCACTTGGCTGGTAAGTTGCTTACTCCCTTCATACTAGGTTTTCCTTATTTTCTTTGTCTGAGTATCAAAAGAGGCAACATATTATAAGGATGCCACAAACCGATGAGTGCCCTTAAAGATCTAGAACAGGTTTCAATGCGTATCCATACAATTTGAACCTAATAGATACTGGCCTACCATTTTCTTCCTTTGTTCAAGACTTCAAGTATCAAAGCTAAGATGACCTATCCTTTAAAAATATCACAAATCAACGAGTTCCCCAGAAAATCTACAAAGGGTTTTTATGCTTATCTGTACGATTGATCCTATTAGTAAATATATGTAATATCAAAAGCTTTGCCGTTCAAATGCTTGCAGTCCCTCTATACATTTGTGCACACCCCTCAATAACAAGGAAAGTAAGTAATTTTTTCCTTGCTCATTTTTGTGATTGTATTTGACTATTTGTACCAAAGGAGTGAACATATGTGTTAGCAAGCTCCATCAAAACAAGAAAATCAAATATTTCTTATAACAAACAAACCTTCTTCACAGAAAAGTGCCCACAATCAAGAAAGTATGTGAAAAACATTGATGTAGTCTTCCTATCGATTGTTAGAATTGCAAGACTTTTTACTAGCACACATAAAGATAAAAGAAGAGGAAAGCAAAAGAAGTATGCAGTTTCATCACATTTTCTTGTGCGCATCAACCTCTATAAATAATGTTATATCATAAGAATACCAACCATTTTGAGCTTCCTAAGCTCTTTCCTTGCAACCCTTCCTCTCCATCGGCACTGGGTTACAATCGATGCCCTCTTTAGCTTCTTATGGTATGAATGAGCTCTATAACAACGCCAATGGGCCTTCAAATAGCAGAAAAGAAGAAAAGATATTATATATATATGTAAGATTGAAGTTTCAAAGAATGTCAAACTGTGAACAAAGTCATTAATTCTGTAAGAAGAGAAGAAGTTGTGACCTGAATAACAGTCGCTGCCTTAGTTTGCTTCTTAAACCTAAACTCATTCCGAGCAGCCAAAAATCTAAAACCAGTTTGCAGGACAACAACTGAGAATTTCAACTGTGTATAAGCCTTCCTAGCCTTGTATCGACGCAAATTTTTCTGAACTTTTATTGCAGAATTTTCTCTTCTCATGCGTTCAAACAACTTAAAAGCCAGCTTTCCTAGAAACACAAGCATGTTAGATGAGTAAAGAACCAAAGATTACACAGCAACAGTAATTAAAGTGAAACAAACTTCTCCATAATGACTGCACAAGAATGGTAGATTTCCGTAAAGCAATAAATCGTTTCCGCAAAATATGAGTTCGTATTTGATTTTGAATAGATTTTGCAGCCCTGTTAAGCACTTCAGCTCGTCGAGCATCTAACTCCGCCATCTGACCAGCTCTAAGGAAAACTTTTGTTTTGCCTATCTGCAAAATCAAGAAGCAGTATAAAACCTCATGCATCTTAAAATGTTTCTATCAATGGTCAAAAATTAAAAAATGCACGTCTACAAGTGATCAACAAATTTAAAGCAATGGCAACAGATAACTTCCTGAACAGTAGTTACTTGCAAGGAAATTCATGATACGAGCTCATTCAATAGGAAGGTGCCTTTTGCCATGTAAATTTACAGTGACAGGTTTAGTCAAGCCATCAATAGTGCTAAATGGCTTAAAAATATAGTACTAGAAAGATTACAGAAATCATCTTTTTACAAGGCCATTCAAAAGCACAATAAATTCACCATGTAAAATGCTATGCTGAAAAACAGTGTTAGCGATCACCTGGAAACCTGTTAACCCCTTCTTTTCTAGAATCTTCCTACAAGCTATCTTTTCATCATTGCTGTTCAAAAAGCATATAGAAAAGCTCCTCATACAATGAAAGTCATGAAATCTAATAAATAACTATAAAGAACACATGTAGACCATCATAATGAAAGACAATGCGAACTTACTTCCCCTCCAAAATTTCTGGAGCAAGAACACCAAAACGGTGTAAAAATTCATAGAATATACGACGAGTAGGATATCCAGCACAGCTAATTCTGATGGCCTCAAGAACACCCTAATGACACCCAAAAAGAATAACAATGATAGAATTTAGACTTGCTTACTATATAAAATAACAACTCTGCTTGGACCATTGCAAATGTCCAAAAATACTCACACCACAGCGTAATTGTTGCATGACATTGAGATTCTCAAATACGGCAGGTTTTAGAAGATTGTTCGGCTTCACACATCTAATGTAATGAGGTTCTGTGGAATTCAATGTGTCCATCAAGGCCTGTAATTGCAGCTGCAGCAAAATTTTCAAACTGGAATTAGATGCATATTTTACAGAAAAAGAGAGGCCCCAAATTGTTCTCCAGAATGAAAAAAGAATAATCCTAATATTTCAACAACTGAGGAAGATAAGTATACACCTTAAATCGAGAACCAATGGATGAAAATTTAGAAGACTTAGATGTCTCCTCAGGTAAAGAAGGAAAAAGGCCTGAAACAAATGAGCATTTTGATGCGCTCAACAAATCTTGGTGTTCCGCCACAACATAATCCTTATTTTTGTCCAGGAACTGGTCAGACTGATATAAAACCTAATAACAGAATACAAACACAAAAATAAATCTTAATGCTTAAAACTATTTTCAGCTAAATCAAGAAATCCAACCTCGCCAGCATAATGGCCTATAGAAAAATCAGTGCGAGAAAGCTTGGGCTTGATGAAGCGCTTGTGTGTTTTAAATGTCTGGTAAAGCTTTTGCGCGAAGGTTTCATGTGTTGATTTTGGAAACATACTGTTGGAAAAAGGGTTGTTAACATCAAACAATAAGTTGTCCATTCTAAAAATCCATAAAAAATTGTCTCACACCAAAAAAATAGTATTTTATTGAAAAGAACAAGAACAGAAAAGAGAATAAGACCATACCATGCTTCATCTAGGAGTGCAACGATACCTCCAGGTTTCTGTATAAGAAAATAGCAACCTTAGTTATTAGCACAAACAGTTTCCATTAAAGTTCCTTCAATAACAACAAGCCATAATGGTCCAGCTATTTAGGGTCAACTACATAGATTATTTTCCGCCGTGGAGTATTACATAAAGTTTCTTAACGTGCAAAAACATATAAAGGTCTCATTGTTGCTATTCTTCACATTAATTAATATTATTGGGTACTAGACTCATCTTACTGTTCTTGATTATATCATGAAAATAAATTTTCATTTAGCATGACCATTGTGAAAATGCATAAAGATTGCCATACATCTTTGCGAAAGAGATACCAGAATACTTTTACAGTCAGGGAAGATCTCTAAAGAGAATATGTTTGTTGTACTACTACTAGCTAATATGGTCTATATTGTTTAAACATGTAATCTTAGAAAATAATCTCAGACAATCTACTAAACTATTTTTGCTAACTAAGTTCCCTCCCTCAATCTCTTATAATATAACAACACCATCTATTACATATGTTTACTGTGCTCAAAGAAAAAATAGAGCATCCTTTCATTAAACATAGCTGTGCTACTTGTAGCTAGAGCAAACTCTTGGAACTGTAGGTTTACTCCGAGGCTCTTGAAGTACATAATTCTGAATGCTGGGAATGGAACAGAACACACATAACTGTTTTGACCATTTTAGAGTGACAAACATCTGGTCATTATTATAGTCTGTTAATAAATATGAGAACTCAATTTGATGTTTCTATTTAGGACCTTTATTGTTTTGTTATTGCTACCTAGAGTGAAACTTTTCTTAACATGAGCCACAAATGAGATTGGGCTATAAGTCCCCATCTTAGGTTGCTTTATGTCATCCCACAATATCACAACTATGATGTTAATGCATCAACATCACTACTATTCTACAATTTACCATCACCATGCATGATACATGAACTAAATAGAACATGGAAACTACCAGTCACTGTTAGAAGTTCGAACATTATTGATCAATATCTGCACATTATCAAAAGTTAATAGGCATATACAGTAAACACAAGCCACACAAATATGTGAATGATGGATATTGATTAACATGTCTAGGGGAAGTGCAAACAAGGAAAAACAAGACTATATAGAACATTCAAAAATCATGTGCAAGTACAAATAAATAAATAAAAAACCTTCTCAATAAGATCCAGGACATCTTGGTTATCAACAAATTCAATGTAGCTCCAATCTATTTCTTCTTTCGTGTACTCTTCCTGCTCCATCTTGAAAACATGCTGAAAGAACAATTTGCAATTAACTTAATAGTTAAATAACCATTTGAAACACGTTTTTAATTTTCTCATGCCGGAAAGGTATGGGGTTGTACTAAATTGGGAACTTTGGGCCCTACATATTGCATCTTCTAAGTGAAATCTTGGTTCCTAGCTTAACTTTTTGTCAGCCTAGAGAAAAGAATGAATGTATCATTTAAGAAGCAATTACCTGGTTAAAATGCTGCTGTAGTTTCTCATTTGTGAAATTGATGCAAAACTGCTCAAAACTGCAAAACAATGAAGGTAAATTATAGAAGATGATAGCGTCAGGGATAAAGTTAAATATTATGTGACACAATATGAATGAAATCCTCTATTTCTTAATTATTACCTGTTTGTCTTGAAACTTTCAAAACCATAGATGTCTAGGACCCCAATCAGTGACTTAGAAGTTGGATCTTGTCCAATTGAGACATTTATTTTATCAACAAGCCTGTAGTTTAATGAAACAAATTTCTTCAAGATTCATCATTTGGTGGTTACTAACTTACTATATCATTAATGCTTGAAGCAACTTTAAAGAAGTATGAGATTGGGTCATGAGATAGTACTTTACCAATCAAATAACCGAGAATATATAGTTTTAGCCAAGCCATCCCTGCTTATGGTTGCAGCATGAGGATCAAGTGGTCTCTTAATAACTTCTTCAGGTGTTATCATCACACGCTTACACAGAGCATCTTCCAAAGCCTCAGAATCACACCTGAAACATGATACCTTCAAAACCTTAAGTAGCAGCATCTAAAAGCAACAGGAATAGGGAATGGGAATGTGGAATTCACATGAGAAGCTCCGCAGTCATCTTGAGATGAAACTTAGATTTGTCATCTTTTAAAACTGACGAATCTACTTCTTGTCCCTTAGTGAAATCAATATTTCCAAGATGAAGAATGCCTGCAACAACCCTGAAAATTCCATCCTGGCAAAAGGATCCAACAGATAAAAATTCAAACATAATTTTAGTCAAGGTTTTTTATATACTGGTCTATATTGATTCCGATTAGTTGTCGGACTGGTTTGGTATTGAAATACCAAGCAGTATGCCAATCTACAACACCCAGTACCACTTAAAAACAATACAAATGGAAATGGGCAGTAATATCAAGTGGCACCAAGTTAGGCATTCTGATACCAGTACTTGGTTAGACCATAAGATACCAGTCAATACAGATTGGTCTCTCTGGTAGTTTAAATCATGGTATGCAGTACCGAATGGTACCGCCCGATACGGGCGGTACGTACCGGTCCGACGGCATACCGATACGCGGACCGTCCGGTACCGCTACAGTATTACTGTATTACACTGTAGCAGTACTAAAGTGCTACAGTGCTATACTATAGCAATGCTATAGTAATAAAGAAAATATATAAAATTATTCGGTACGCCCTAGTGTACCACTCGGTACGCCCTGGTATCGTACCGAGCCAACCTCAAAACACCGGTACGGTACGGTATTGCATACCTTGGTTTAAATCATGCTTAACAGAAAGTTAATCTTTACCTGTTCTTGTGCACTGATTCCGACAATATCCATAGCCCTCCTGGTGGCCAAATAGTCATGGGCATCACTCACACCAACCAATTCATAGCAATTTGATTGGTTAAGATAATGAAATGAACTTGGTTTTCCTAACTTATACTTGTCAACTATCTGCAAGGTGATACAGAAATTAGTTACAGAAACTACCGAATGTTAAGATTAAAAGATGTTTCTCCATTAAGCATCATAATACATCAATTGCAGACAATAATTCCCAGAAAAAACAACACCTCTTGTGGTGCAGCACATAGAAGGTAAAAGCAGTGGTAGTTACGCTCTGGATCAGAAACCTGGCAAACTCGGGACCTCTCAAGAAGGTAGGTACGGATGGCAGCACCTGATATTTTACCTTGCCTATTAAACTGGATCTCAACAAACTTGCCGAAACGACTGCATGCATTTAAAAATGTATGAATTAACACAGATGCTCATAAAGACTATAATGTTGTACGGTAACATTTAATTTTACATCAAAATCTTCTTGTTCAATACCTGGAGTTGTTATTTCTGACAGTTTTTGCATTTCCAAATGCTTCAAGAACTGGGTTTGACTGGAAAAACAGTCACTTATCAAACACTCAGAAAAAGAACATGCGCATGGACTACCACAGAAGCTCCAGTTGAACTGTGCTTACTAATTGCCAGAGATTCTCAACTTACTTCGAGTACTTGTTGCTCTACCGTTCGCCCTTCAGTAGCAGCACGCCCACCCAAATAAGCAAGATAGCGCATAAGCATCTTTGTTGTCTCAGTTTTACCTGCACCACTTTCACCACTAACCAAAATGGAATTGCTTTTCCCCTCATTTATCATTGCCCTGTTTCATATAGGCAGCTTGGAGTAAATTCGTGAATTTAGAGGAAAAATAATCTTGTATGCAAAAGTGATAAACCTGTATGCTACATCTGCCACTGCAAATACATGAGGACTTAGCTCACCCAAGGGAGCTCCTTTATATTGGGTCATCATGTGAGAATCATATAGATGGGGCAACCTTTGAAATGGATTTATGGCAATCAGAATATTTCCTGTGTAAGTCTGCCACAGAAATACATGTCACATCAGAACATTGTTTCAAAAAGAGCATATGTCCTGAACTGTAACTTGGATGATAAATGCTGTGCAGCTTACATAAATTTCATTCAGTTGGTATCTGGCTGCCAAATTCTGCAGAACTCCAGGCTCATGCAGATAAGAGAGCTTTGTCATGTCATCAACCCCTCCAGCAGGGGCTTCCATATCTTTGGGATATACTTTTGACAGATTGGCAACAACCTAATGAATCACCATCAGTGCACAATGCATAGAATATATGGTCCCAGTAATTTAACATTTAAAATATATAAAGGATTAAAACTACAAATTCATGCACCAAAATTACAGCAATTTTTAATTCAGGGACTTAAAAAGTGTAAAAAATGAATACTACTACTACACTTTACAAGATTCAAGAAAAACTAGATATGATCAAGTGAATCAGCTGCTGTTTGTTTGCACATGACTCATACTGCAAATCAAAAAGCAATGAGAATGGCAAAAAAAAACAGTGAGAAGACAATACATTTCAAGTTCGGCTAGTAATTACTTCCTTTAAAGTAATCAAAAGGTTGACATCCTAGACCCACAAAAAGCATCAAGGACCAAATGATTTTACTAGTGTTGCCAAGTGAAGTGGCCATCAGTTTTTAGTACTTCATCCAATTATGATAAAATATCATTTTTGTGCTATTTAAATATGAGCAACAAATGTGCAAATATATCAAAGCAAGGACCATAATAAACCACTTGCAAACGTCATATGAATTAGAACAGAAATAATATGCTCTTGCTGGATTGTCACAATGACTATATGGAGACATAGCGGTCAGGTATGTACCAGTCACCTGGGCATTGTCACAGGTCTCATGTTGCATCAAGGATGTAATAACACATATGGGCATTTCGATTAGATTCCAGTAATTGATAGAGGATCACAACAAGCTCAAAACCAACATGGTTTTGCCCCTAGAAACTATTATTCATAAAATGCACTTTACAGTGAGCATGAACTAAATGTTACCTCCCTGACAGTTTAAATACGATATGAAAATAATTCCAATGTTTGCCACAGATTGAGGATATCTAGAATTATTTTAGAAAGTATGTTGTGCTAGTCATAGGTGCCTTGCAAGCCAATCACGTGAGTGATGGCACGTGTGACATGACATGTACTCTTTTTGCTTATTATATTATTTGGCATTTTATCACTTTATCTTGCATGCTGCATATATTGTGATGTACATGGATCTGTGCAATGAGAATCGGATCGTGATGAGATCATAATAATGAGATTGATTCGCCTTTAAAAATAGACCCTAAATAATCACGGTCATTGGTCACTCGAGAGAGACATCGAGGTGACCGGATAGACTGGTGTATTATATACTCGTTCATATGATGGACGCGGCTGGTGTCATAGATGCTCGTGTAGGGACACTAAGGATACCGCGCAGGTGCTCATTGGAGAATGAGTTCACTGATTGATCCACTCACAGAATGCTGGATGGTTGATGATGCCTCATTGTCAGACAACGATTCCGTCGTCTCAGTGGTGTATCTGATCCCTAGACTTGAGACACCAAGGATGTCCTGTATGAGTACTTCACTCTCTGATATCAGACTTATAAACCTGGAAGTTCTAGATCTAG